GCTGCACCCTGCGGAGAATCTGGTTACTTTATTGTCGAGCCTTCGACTTTTGTCGAAAAAGCGAGACATAGCGATCCTACATTCCGTCAGCGGCGTCGTCGTTGTCGTCGTCGTCGGCGGCGTCCACAAATATTCACTCTGTGGTTAAAGTTTTTGAAATTTTAATAACTTTCTTAAACTACCCTGGATTTCTACCAAACTTGGACAGAAGCTTGTTTAGGGGACGACCATTTGATATTCTGGGGGGTGGGGGTGGGGGGTTTGGTGGGGGGGGGGGGCAGGAGGATTTTGAAAATAAATAACTCAGCCTTGATAATCACAAAAATAAATGGTTTGTTCTGTGGTAGTTTGAAAATAAATTACCTGACTTGCAATGTATTGAAAATAAATAACTCAGCAGGTCTAATCGAAAGTATGAGATGGCACCAGATTCTTCATGAATTCATCTTTTTTCCAAAAAAAAAATCGGGAAACACTTCCCATATCTTTTAATAATAAAAGTATAAATATTATTTAGATATACTTGAAATGTCAGAAAATTGGTTTCATTTAACTTGAGGTTAATTGTCTCAGGAACACTTACCTCACTTTTATTAAATCAGGGCCGTAACTACATTGAGACAAATGCCTCATGTAGGAAATTTCAAAACCAAACGCTTGTCTCCATATCAAATTGTGTTCACCGTGAGTGCCTTGCAAGAAGCAAGTTCTGTTCTCCCTCAGACATAGCCCCTGATTTTTTTGGGATCAATGTTTCTTATTTATTTGTCTTTTGTTCATTGATTGCCCTTCTGTATTCTGTTAGTGTTGCATTCATTTTGTAATTTAGTAATTTTATTATTAACTTGATGAGTTTAAAAAAACACAGCAGCCACAGAACTATGTGAATTACATTTTTGCTTTATCATGCATATTTGTCTTTTGATGTTGTTCCTAGAAACTTAAGACTTACACTGAATCTATAACGTGATTTTGCTTTGAGACCAAAATATTGTCATAAAATTATTAAACAGAACTTGCATTTTCGGTTTAAGAAAGGGTCTGGGGAACAACCAGAAGGCATGATTTTGCATCATTTGTTCTATAGCTTCTTGGGCCTTCAGCGGTTCCAAAACCCTTCCAAAAAAATTTTGCCTCGCTCCGCTCGGCGAAACATGGTGGCAATACTTTTAAAAGAGCCTTAGTTACAACCGAACTTTAATACTGTGTATGTATGCAATACATGTATATGCATTGGGGGATATAGAAGATTCATTTCTGCAGAGGATAATAATTAATTCTGATTAAATGGTACATAATGACTTGACTATACATGAATTATTTATAATAAACAAATAATTTAAAAATTGTATGTTTTCGAATATTATAAATATAGTTGTGAAAATAAATAATCAGTCCCTTGCTTTAATGAAAATGAAAAATCTTGCTTCAATAGTGCAGAAAATAGATAATCTGTCCTCTTAGTTTACAAAAATAAATAACCGATCCAAAACAAATCCTCCTGCCCCCCCCCCCCAGAATATCAAATGGTCGTCCCCTTATGATCATAAGATAATATTCAAAAGTAAATTTTGTAAAAAAAAAAATCCATTTTTTCCGTATTTTACTTATAAATGGACTTAGTTTTTCTGCCAGGAAACATTACATTCACTCTGTGGTTAAAGTTTTTGAAATTTTAATAACTTTCTTAAACTATCCTGGATTTGTACCAAACTTGGAAAGAAGCTTGTTTGTGATCATAAATAGTATCCAGAAGTAAATTTTGTAAAAAAAAAATCCATTTTTTTTCGTATTTTACTTATAAATGGACTTAGTTTTTCTGCCAGTTAACATTACATCCACTCTGTGGTTAAAGCTTGTTTATGATTAAAAGCTAGTATCTAAAAGGAAATTTTGTTAAAATTTTGTGACATTTTTTCCGTATTTTACTTATAAATGGACTTAGTTTTTCTTCCAGTTAACATTACATAACAGTCTGCAGTTTAAGTTTTTATTTTAAAACATTTATTAGATTCATAAACCATCCTGGATTTTTACCAAACTTGGACAGAAGCTACTTACAATCAAAAGATAGTATAGAGAGGAATATTTTTATTAATTTTTTTCCTCATTTTTGTTGAGCCTGTGATTAACAGCAGAAGTAGGCGAGACACTAGGTTCCGCGGAACCCTTACGAATTTTGTTTACATTAATATTTGACGATTTGAACAAATCAAAGGGGAAACCAGGCATTATCTTGCATAATATGAAAAAGAAGATGTGGTACGATTGCCAATGAGACAACGAGCCACAAGAGACCAAATGACACAGAAATTAACAGCTTACCATGATAAAAAGTTGAATAATGGAGATAAAGGGTATAATATATCAATGAGACAGCAACTTAATGACACAAAAAGTAAGAAGACATTTAAATATCAACACCAAAGCATCAAAGTCCATTTGGATTGTATCTAAAAACCACAGGGTTAAGATTTTAAATACCTGGTTAAACTGTTGTATAACATTTGAAATACTGTTAATACAGAAATTATTGTATGGTTTTTATATTGTGAATGACATGTTTTTTTTTACTGACCCTGGTTATCCATGAGGGTCTTGCATGGTCGTATATGTGAATAATGTATCTGGGTGGGTATCACCAGGTGTATATGTATACACAATATATTGTGAGATGAAGCATAGCCAGACAACTGCCAGGGGCGTAGCTAGGTATCCAATAAACTGTAGGCACAAATTGCGGCAGGGGGTCTGTGACCCCATAAGGCCCCTGGTAAGGGGTTCTGGGGGCATTGCCCTCCGATGGAAAATGGTTTTCAGCATTTAAGTTGCAAAATTTTGTGTACAAAAAAACATAAAAACGTCATTTTATCATGATAATATACATGAAAACAATGTCGAAAAAATAAACATAATTCTACAATTACATCTGACTGATGAATTAACCGGCAGTACAATCGGAAATATAAAAAAAAACAATATTTCCAATACGCATTGCCCAGCGTGGATCAGCGTAGCCCTTTATTAAGCAGCACAACCTGTTTCTGATTGAGTATAATTGATATATACGTCAATTGATAGTACATATTGACGATCCTTCATTAAAAAAAAAAATAGGCACGTAAACACTGAGACTACTACATAATAATACTAACTTTTGGAATACGACGCATCGACCATTCATATTTTGATTCTTAAACCTTCACCCTCCCCCGGCCACACAAACACATACACACACACAGTCAATACGTCATGCAGAAGTTCTGTTCTGTTCATACTACCGGTGTCTAACAAAATTCAAGAAATTCATATTTTCTTATATCCTGTACTGTAAAATCCCTACCTGCTTAGGAATTTGAATAATTATCGTCATTACATGTAGATCTGAGAGTACTCGAAGTTACTGAAAGCTTGTTGATTGATTGATTGATTGATTGATTGATTGATTGATTGATTGATTGATTGATTGATTGATTGATTGATCGATCGATTGATTGATTGATTGATTGATTGATTGATTGATTGACGTCCAGTGGCAAATAATTCATGCATGTTCAGGACTAAAACAGATAGAGGTCGTGCAGGATGAAGGTCTGGAAATTTGGAAATGCCATGCATTGGAAAATGAGGGTTTATTAAATAGGAACAGAAATTTGCCTTTCAGTAGACAACCTACTAACCCCTAAAAGAGTTGTTTCAAGTGTCTTAACGTGCAGAGAGCGTGGCATTTTTTATCTCTTCATTAGGCATCAGATTGAACTTAGGCCAACAACAACTAATTAAAAAAAATCATTTATCTAAGTTGAGGTTCATTCAAGTATTTGTTGATTGAAGTGAATGATCTGAACCAAAGTTCTAGTTTATAGTTTCTATATTAGGTGGAATATAATGACATACAGTTCCAATACGCCACTGATTCAATAAGGATGATAGACTAGTGTACGCATGACATTCAATAATAAAGAGTTTTGACGAATTCACATGCATCTAGCCATCTACAGATAACATTGTTTATTACTTTTTTTAATAAAAAAATTATTTGTGAAAAAATTATGTGTAGGCACATGCCTAAAGTGCCTAACGGCAGCTACGCCCCTGACTGCAGTAAATTATGTTTATTATATGCATTGAATTATAATTACTTTTTCATGTGATAGAAAAACTTTATAAAGTCATAAAGTAAAGATTATGTGAAATTATCTAATTGGTTTTTTCAGGAAAGTAACTAAAGTTAACTTTAAGTGCAGTATATCTGTGGACATTTTTTGTTCTGATAGTAATATTTTCTTTCTCTTTCACAATAGATGGATGGTAACTGAATCAATACAAATAGCCTCATTGAATTTGAAAAAGCTGCAAATGATATCTGAGTAACAAAAGATTGTTAGTGTGCAGTGTGCAGACAGTGGTTAAACAGAAGTTAACATTCTATTAGTTTTGGGATTTTACAATCATCTAGAGGAAATAATAGGAGAAAAAGGGACCTGTGTGGTAAAAACTTCCTAAAAGTCGTCCTTTATGTGTTCAACTTTTACTTTTGGGTAAGTGTATTATATATATGTTTATAGTTATAGAAAAGGCAACTTAAAAAGATATTATAATTTAAATGATTTACTGATTATTGGTTGCTTAGAATCATCCATTGGCAAATATTATATATGCATGTTCAGAACTAACTATATAAAGTATATAATTTGTAAATGTATAATATAAGACATAAGAGAAGATATAGATACATGTTAATTGAATAATCTCCCTTTGTTCTTTGTTCAAATTAAATTAAATTCTTCGTTCATTGTTTTCTGTATTCTGTTGCTAGTAAGATTTTATAACCATGCTAACAGGATAAAAGATCCTAATATAAAATTATTTCTAATTTTTCAGCTAACATTGATAGCTAACTTCAAATTACAAAAATATTCCGTTTCCTAACTTTTCTTTATCATGTTCTGTCAATTAATTAAATGTTCTTTAAAATTCAATAGTATTTTTATGCATGATAAATTCTATATTTCTTTTCCAGCTGACAGCCCGGTTAGCTTTCCTAGCATTAGGGTTATATATCAAGTTCCAGAAGCATACCTATATCAATCTGCTAGGGAACAGTACTTTCCCTTTGGCAACATACTTGCTACTAGGAACAGGAGCCTTTATTATCTTGTCAGGAATCATTAGTTGTTAACTGGGACATGTATAGAAAATAGATATTTTATGGTTATGGTGAGTTATTTCCCTTTGAACACATTGTCTACTTAGAATGTATACCAAAATTAAGTTTTTTAACTTTCACAAGCAAAGCCAACAATAAATTGAAAAAAAATCATTTCAGCTAATTCCAATTACATGTTATTTTACTTATGATTGTAATGGATATTATGTTGTATGGTCTGTTCGTCTGTCAGTCCAAATAGATTTTTAGGTTGTTTACATTGACGTTGTGGTCTTATCAACATGAAAATAAGGCCACATGATGTGAAATTACTATGGTATTAGGCCTATTCCACGGTTCACTAAACATTGAAATTATTACATTCTCAAGTTTAAAGTCATATGAAACGAGTGACTAATGAAAAATAATGTTTATCCAATTCTTGAACCAATAAAATTGAGATTAATGGAAATGGGGAATGTGTCAAAGAGACAACAACCCGACCATAGAGCAGACAACAGCCGAAGGCCACCAATGGGTCTTCAATGCAGCGAGAAACTCCCGCAACCGGAGGTGTCCTTCAGCTGGCCCCTAAACAAATATGTATACTAGTTCAGTGATAATGGACGTCATACTAAACTCCAAATTATACACAAGAAACTAAAATTAAAAATGATACAAGACTAACAAAGGCCAATGGCTCCTGACTTGGGACAGGCGCAATGCATGTTTATATCATAAACTTAGTCTTCTGTGCACGATTTTATCATTTTTTACGCAAAGATATCGTTTTTAAATTGTAAATTTTTTTTCTCTCTGTCTGTTATGATCTAACAAATATGGTAGCTCATTAATGGCCGTGTTTTGAAGCCGAAGTTTACCGATTGTTACTTTATAGTAAACTATCAACAAAAAAGGATGCAATCTATTGGCGATTTTATCATAAACATGCTGCTAATAAATGCCTCTTTAATAAGCTAGGTGCATTTTTCTATATTTTTTTTATCTTAGGAAATTACTATTGAAACATTGTTTATCTGTTATCTTGAAATTATCGTTTGAAAAGGATGTTTTTTTATAGAGATGACTTAAGCCAATCAGAAAGTCAGACTAGAGGTCACATGTCTGGCATTTCATTCTCCTGTCTCATATTCTAAAATGTTATGGATAATTAAAACATTGTTGTGATGTCATTCTATTGTTTTACCCGTTCTTTATTTCAGTGATTGGACTATCATTAACCTGTAAGAAACCATTATGTTACCTTTAGCTGTCCAATATTTTTAAGAATAGACCTCCTCTTTCTTAAAAATATTGGACAGCTAAAGGGTAGCATTACTGATTCTTACAGATAAATGATAGTTCAATCACTGAAAAAAAAACAAACTATTAATTACCCCAATTGTTTTCATCATGTAAACAAAAACAAAACCAAAGATCAAATGACAATTAAAAAAACATTTTATTAAAGTCACCTTCCAATACAATAATTTTGTCACTCATCAAAACGGTTTCTTGAGGAAAAAATCACTTTCAAATTGATTTTTGTCTCGCTTGACGGAGTCAAAAAGCGAGACATAGGTATGCTGTTTCCGTTGCGGCGTCAACAATGTATTAGTTTGTGATGCTGTCTAGTTTATGGTGAACCACTAGTGGTAAGTCAAAGATATTTGGTATGCAGTTGTATTGGTATTGGCACATCTCATTACCATGGAGATTATTTGGCCTCACCCCCTCAGTCATGGTCTATTGACTTTGAAACTTTGCTTAGTTTTCATGTATTAGTTTGTGATAAGGTCATTTTATGAGGAACCACTAGTGGTAAGTTAATGATTATTGGTATGCAGTTGTATAAGCATTGGCATATCTCATTTCCATGGAGATTATTTGGCCCTGCCCCCTCAGTCATGGTCTAATAACTTTGAAATTTTTGCTTAGTTTTCATGTATTAGTTTGTAATTAGGTCAGTTTATGGGGAACCACTAGTGATAGGTCAATGATATTTAGTATGCAGTTGTATTAGCATTGGCACATCTCATTACCAGGAAAATTATTTGACCCCCGCCCCCTCAGTTATGGTTTATTGACTTTGAGATTTTGCTTTATTTAAATGTATTAACTTGTGTTTGAAAATTTGCTATATTTAAATGTATGAGCTTGTGTTTAGGTATGTTTAAAGGGAACTACTTATGATAAGTCAATGGTATTTAGTATGCAGTTGTATTAGCATTGGTACATCTCATTTCCATGGAGATTGTTTAGCCATGTACCTTCAGTCATGGTTCATTGACTTTGAGTATTTGCAAAACGTACATGTTAAATAAAGTGTTGCGATTTTAATTTCAACATTTGCATTATCGAAATTACAAAAAAGCGAGACATATCTCTGTGATAACAGCTAGTTTATTAACACTACCAATACTTATATCACAGCCATTTTTCTCATGTCTTTGGGTTGTCTCTTTTAGCACTAATTCAATAAGTTGATTATGCTCGTTGTAAGTCTTGTTTTTATTGCTTTTATGAATTTCTTTTTCCAAAAGATTTATCCTCGTCCGTCTTTAGGTTATCAAAATTGACCTCTGGTGATGCCCTTCCTAACATCATTTTCAACTGCAACTAAAATGAAAAAAGCAATAAAGTAATGCTTCTAAAATTTGATAGATCATGCCGCAATACAAGGGTCATGAACAACCGAAACCTTATCCTGTGTACAAAGTGCGAATTAGAACTTCCTTCAGGAACCAGGGGACTATGAAAGTTTTTATAATTTTCAGGTTTCAATGTGTAAAACAATATAAGATATAAGCCTCTAACAGTCCTTTCTGTAAAATATTTTACAGAATGGATTGTTATTGGCTTATATCCCTTAGAGAGAAAAATATCATGTGACATCAAACATTATCCATTGATTTATGGCAAACCTTAAATATCTAAATATTATAAAATATATCTAAATAAAGGCAACAGTAGTATACCGCTGTTCGAAACTCATAAATCGATAGAGATAAAAACAAATCCGGGTTACAAACTAAAACTGAGGGAAACGCATCAAATATAAGAGGAGAACAACGACACAACAAAAACACAACATTAAAATGTAACACACACAGAAACGAACTATAATATAACAATGGCCATTTTCCTGACTTGGTACAGGACATTTTAAGAAAAAAAAGGTGGGTTGAACCTGGTTTTGTGGCATGCCAAACCTCTCGCTTTTATGGCAACGTCAAACACAACACCAAAACGACAACATCACATGACAGGACCACAAAACAAATAAATGGGAGAACATACAGGACAAAGAAACACACGAATAATAGCTAACAAAAGGTACTAGGCTTAAAATTCAATACGCCAGACGTGCGTCTCGTCCACACAAGACCAACCAGTGACGCTCAGATGAAAAAAGTTTGAAAGCCAAAACAAGTACAAAGCCAGAAATTATGGAATCATTGTTCAAAAGTACCTTTATGGTAGTAGTAGAATCTTTTTTTAAATATATTTCAATCTAATTTATGTACATACAGGTTGGAAGAGACTGATGAACTATACATATCTGGGATACAGAATCAATGAAACATCGTCAGTACTGAAAGGTCAACATCAAAGAGGGGTCTGTGCTGTAGACTTCTCAGGTATTTATTGTTTGTTCATTTTCAGTCTTAATACAAAAAATTTATGCAGATTGAAACATGACAGGATATTTTTGGTGGTTAACCTTGTAATGATTTTGACTGGAACAAAAGAATGGATGTCAGGAAAATCAGGAAAATAAGATTATAAGTACAGCTAGTATGGGAATAAAACCTGGAATTTTATCACCAGATCTGGTTGGACTTGGATATTTGTTGATTTGTTACTGTCTGAAAATTATTTACTACAGTCATACTTAATTTATTGCCACCTTTTGGAACATGTAAAATACTATCGACAAGTCAGGATGGCAGTATATCAAAGTAGAAATTTATATAAATACTGCACACATTTGAGAAAAGTTGACTCTAGATTATTCTTAAATATTATGGGTGCAATAATTGACATTTGAAACATTTTAAGAAAATCAATACCTGCATTTTGCAGAGATTTTAGTGTTTGTTACAGTAAGATTTAAAGCATAAATGTCTTAACTGTTTTATGAAAATTAATTTAAATGACAAGTTTGGTTTTATTTATTTTAGGTAGTGGTAAAGTTTGGCATCATTTGGTTTGGATGACAACCATCTTATTGTAGTTTGAGACTGGAGAAAGGGAGAGAAATTAACATCTACCAGGTAATATTTGTATAAGAGTTTATATAGAATCATTTTCATAACAGCTTGGACAAGACCAGTTCTTGGGGCACTCAGGTTATGAATTGACTGGGCCAGATTAGGTAAACTTTCATGTATTACATTACATTCTCTCTTGACTTTACATAGCTTTATCATTGACAAGTTTAAGTTCTCAAAAACTATTAAAAAATAATTAAAATTTCTTGGACAACTCATGGGTATTCTAAAACTTCACCTAAATTGCACATAAACACTGTGGACCATCAGTGGACTTGCATTTAAGATAGTTCAAGCATATTATATTATACAAATCTTTGGTTCAGGGATAATTTCTAAATTCTACTGAACAGATGGAAAAAAGGGGGAGAAGATGCAACTTCAAGGTTAGATTTTTGTCAAAATGAAGATAGTCGGCTACAGAAAACAGCAAAAAGACGACAGAATACTTACTCATAGTCAAGTTATGTCGTATGATTCTGCTTGTATGCTGAAATCCCTAGGTAATACAAAAACAATCCGTCCATTCAAATATGTGGGTTTCAAGCTTCCTATCGAATCGGTTTTCCAAATAAGGAAAATAAGCCACGCCTCCGTTGCGAGATCGACAAGAAGGATTTTCATACAATACAAGTTATGAAATATAATGTGACATATGGTTTTTAATTACAACAAATTATCATTATTTATCTTATTCTGCATAGTTTATCAATAAAAAGAACAAAATACGAGAACGATTGACGACCAGAGAAATGAAGTGGACAGCCAAGGCCGTAACTACCATTGAGGCAAGTGAGGCAATTGCAAAAAATTTCGACACTAAATTTTTTTTGTGTATTTGTTTATGGAATTAAATAGGAAATATAGTCATTTGTTTTTTCTGTCTCAACCCTAATTTCTATAATTTGACATCGTTGATCGTTCCTTTTAAATTATTCTTCCCGGTGTCATATGGTATTTTGAACCCCATGGTAAATTGACCCCTGGGTCAAAATACTGCTATGGTAAATTGAACCCCCCCTGTATGGAAAATTGACCCCCCATGGTAAATTGAACCCCCTGTTTTTTTCATTCTAAATGATTAATAGAACATTATACATTATATTAAAGCTAATCATAGATTAAAAATCATTCATACAAGAAGGGGAGGTAAATTTTCCATGAAAAAATCTTTGCTTGGTATAAGTGCTGTGAAGTCTTTAACAACAAAATTTAATTCAAAATACTTGTTGAAGCATTATAACTAGACCATGTAGCTTGAATGCTTTAATTATTTGAAATTATAATGTATATATAGAAGGGTAGACTAAGTTTTAATTTTCCATGGTAAAAAAGGAGGAGGGGGTCAAATTACCATGGCTTCGTTAATTTTAAAAGGAAAATTATCAAAACATCTTTTCCAGTAAGTCAAATACATACAAACTACTTATTGGAGTATTATTACTTTATAAAGGAGTTAGAATAGCTAGAATTTTTGAAATTGGAGGTGTGAAAGGGGGTTCAATATACTATGGCTAAGAATTTTTTTTCAAAACATCTTTTCAAGCATGTAAAATATATACAAACTACTTATTAGAGTATATTTACTATGTAAAGGAGTGATAACAACTAGAATTTTTGAAATTGGAGGTGTAAAGGGAGGGGTCAATATACCATGGCAAGGGGTTCAAAATACCATAGCTAAGAAAAAAAATTCAAAACATCTTTCAAAGCATGTCAAATATATGCAAACTACTTATTGGAGTATAATTTCTATGTAAAGTAGTTAGAATATAGCTAGGATTTTTCAAATTAGGTCTTAATAGGGGGTTTCAATATACCATGTGGCTAAGTAAAATTTTCAAAACATCTTTTCAAGCAAGTAAAATACATACAAACTACTTATTTGAGTATTATAACAGTGTAAAGGAGTCATAATAGCTACAATTTTGAAATTGAAGGTCTATAGTAGGGGGTTCAATATACCATGGTAGGGGGGTGAAAATACCATGGCAAAGTAAAATTTTCAAAATATCTTTTCCAGCAAGTAAAATACATACAAACTACTTATTGCAGTATTATTACTATATAAAGGAGTTAAAATTTCTATAATGTTGAAATTGAAGGTGTAAAGGGGGGATTAAAACTGAATAGATCATTTTGCTTTAATAAAAGATTAAAGAATTTTTATGGCATTCAAAAAGAAGTTAGGTTTTTTTATGGTAACTATGGGGTTCAATATACCATGGTTTAGCAAAAATGTTTTAAATCATATATTTTTCATTCAAGACACTAAATGATTCAGTCATGATTATTCTACAATTTTGAATTTGGCAGGTAGTAATATACCAATAAGATCAAATAAGTTGTTTCTAGGTACACATTACAAAGAATGAAATTTTAGGGTTTAGAAACAATATAAAGATATAATTTTATAAAATAAGTTTAAACAATTTCAAAAAGTACATTTGAAATGTGGCTTTATTAATAAGTGAACAAGGAGATATCTGCATCAACCATTAGTGTATTGGACCCATTGGAGGTGTTGAAAACTATATAGCACACTTTTATTAAACAAAAGAAAACTTCATTTTAATAATTCCAAAGGTAATTAGAAAATTCAAGTAATCATTTGTTTATAATTAATGACAAGGATTTGTATACTATACAAATCATTGGTAATGACAATTTGTTTTTTTTAACAATTAATTATGACAATCAACCAATATACCTGAACAATAGACTTTCACACCTTTACCATTTCCTTGGAGCTTCAATGCCTATTTTGTTAAATGGTGTCAAACTTTTATTGCTTGAGTTGATGATGATTGGTCTACCAATGAGAAAGTATTCCAAAAAGGACTTCTCATAAAAACTAACTAAGGATCAGCAACTCTTCAATTTGTTGTTTGCACACCGACCGTGCAAGGGCTGTATAGCCAGTCAAGGTCGGTAAAAACTTCCATTTGTTGTTGCAACTCTTCAATTCATCATTTAAAATTACAATGGACACATTAGAGTTTGACAGTTTACATAGTTTCTTAAGCAGTGATCCCAACAGAATCTGGCCAAGTCATGCAGTGGTGAGTATTTTATTTTATAATTTTTAGTTTTATTTACTCCTTATACTGATCAGGCCTTCATATATGATTAAAAGCCAAATATTACAATAAATGGAATTGTCAAGCATTTGCAAATAATATATAGTTCCGAGGACACAGTTATCTACCTTCAATTTTCGTTGTCCACAAATGTAGTTCCCTTTAATTTCAGTGTTTTTTTCTTATTTTTTTTCTTTGTCTTTTTTTGGAATTTTTCATTATTTGTTTGCATTTAGGTGAAAGATAAGACTTCAAATATACTGTCTGAAAAAAATCTTTTTGAAATTTTCTGTAGAAATGAGTGATTTGGTCAGGTAAATAAAGGTGGAATTTCCTCTTCTCGGAAGCTCTCAGGCTTCATCCTTACCGGTGTCCTTATGTTTGGGGTTACCAGGAGAGAATGAGCTGGTAGACTTTTCTGAATTTTTGATATGTTTTGGGATAAAAGTCAAACTTTATGCACACCAAATCTTTTTAGAATATAGAGCAGGTGGTTTTTTTTTAATTGCCATTATGTTTTAATAGACAAATAGGGGAAAATAACTGTGTTCTCGGGCCTAAGAGGCTGAACCCACTGTACCCCAAAATGGACATTTTGGTCCCCTGATTTGCACAGTTTGCCTCAAAATTGAATTGTAAAGATATTTCATTGTTAATTTATAGTAAATAATTGGAAAATATTTTTAAATGCCAAAAAAAAAACCTATTTTGCCATATTTTTGGATTGTTATTTATAAATATGTTGAAACTTTTGGGGCAAATCTCAAAACAGGGGCTCATAATTTTTCTATTTTGAGCAAATTCCTACTCATTCTGATAAGAAATAGTTCTTTAAAGTTTAAATGGAGGGATTTATTCAAAAATATTTAGCAAAATTACAAGAAAAATCTGCCCCTGGCCAAAATGGGCACTGTCTGATTTGGACAGGGGCTTGTACGCCTAATGGCAAATATGGGGTGATAAATTTCAAGCATCCCAATGCCGGCGGGTGGAGACAAATACATGTGCACAGACTTGCGTACATGATAAGGCATCTCAATTTTCATTTACCTAATTTTGATGTCTAGCATCTGTGCCACAACTCAAAATGCATTAATGTTGATCATCTGGTGTTGGAGCCACACGGCTTCAACAACAGTAGAAAAACTTGCATTTCATGTGGCCATTGCTTGGGTCACCCAGCTCCATTGCCACCTTGCAAGTTGGACTTAAAGATGGCAAACAATAACCTTGGTATTATTCATTGTTTTAGGATTTATAAATTAAATATTTACTTTATTTTATTTTATTGATGTAAACAACAATTTCAGATATCTTTTTGAAAGATTTGGGTGGTCCTTAAAAGGACCTTTGGTTGAGTTACTGTGTTGCTAGGTTGCTGTCTCATCTATGGTGCTGGTGGTAGTTTTCTCTTGCAGTAGGTACTATGGCTAAGTAAGGCAGGCACTGGGTCCAACTGCCCTTTTCTGTAGACATCGCGCTCTTTACTTTTTACCTTGGCCTCTCTATGTTCTACTATTTTTCACCACTATGTGTGAGACGTCTACGTTTAACTTCAGGTTTTTTTTCATACTCTTGCTTGTAGGTAAACTGTTTGTCCATACTGTCGAGGAACTTTAAACTGGAATCAGATAAATTAACCCCCAGATGTTCACATTTTGCTTTGCTGAGGTTCCTGGCATGTTGTTGTTTCTGTGAATTCCAGATGCTAATCTGGCCTCCATGCCTCTTGAGAAGATTACATTCTTGGGTAAATTCACACTCAAGGATCTGTGCACAGCTTCATTCTTGTTTGTTGTGTTGTAAAGCTTCATACTTCTAATCGCATCTTCACTAAGCTTCATTTTCAAGATCTCTTGCAGTAACAACTTGTCTTTTTCGTCCATTTGCAGGATATTAATGTTATAGCAGCCAAGATACTTG